TGAACTCACAGAGATCTGCCTGCCTCTGCCTCCCAAGTGCTGGGATTAAAGGCATGAGTCACCACACCTAGCTCTAATCTTTATATTATAACCAACTTAATTATAATTCTACTTTTGGTAAGTTCAATTTTCTTTTTTTTTTTAATTTTTATTTTTTATTTTATGTGTATACATGTATTGCCTGCATGTAGGCAAGTGCACCCGTGTCATGCAATGCCTGTGGAGGTCAGAAGAGGCTGTCTGTCAGATACCCTGGAACTGGAGTTATGAACAGTTGTTAGCTGCCATGTAGGTGCTGGGATTTGAACCTGGGTCTTCTGCAAGAACAACCAGTGTTCTTAACCGCTGAGCCATCTCTCCAGCCCCAATAGGTTTTTTGATTTTTTTTTAAAGATGTTTAGAATACTCAAGTTTATAATGTAGTATGTATTTAATAGGCCTTTTAATCCATTAGCAAAATACATTTATAAACCTGCACATGTGGATTTTAATCTTGCATGTCAAAAAAAATAATAAAAATAATAATTCATGTGCACAATAAAAATAATGAGAAAAGTAAAGAAAAACTGAAGTGTCCACAATTAAAAAATTGTCCTGACACAAATAACACATGAAAACAATGATCATACACATAACACAATTACATGAAATTGTTGTGGGGTGCGTCACCAGAGAAGACCACTCAGAAAGTTTTGTCGAATGAAAGTTGTTACTGGCCATGGCTACTATACAAGGGTGTCAGGAATCCAAGTGTGTAGCCCAACCCATCTCTAGGGTAAGCATTTATACAGAGAAACCATAACCAGGGGTGAAAAGTTTAAGTTCCCAAGCTTACAGGTGCAAAGCCCCCTTAATAATTCCCCTTAATAATTTCTATTCTGTTAAGTAACAATTACTATTTTGCAGAAGCAAGCCAAGTATAACCTACAGAAGTCATAAATCTGCAGTTAGCAGGTGTACTCTGGACACTCTGACCTGGTCCCAAGACAACTGGGGCTCAGCTTACATGTGTTCCCATACCCTGGGCCAACTGCCTGATAATTTCAGAGACTAGAGTCAGCCTAAACTTTAACATGGTGTAACTATGGTCAAGAAGGTGCCCTATCACAAAATTCAGGTGCACAAAAGAGTGAGAGAAGGCAGACAGCTTATATCTCTAGTTTTATAATATGTAAAAAAAAAAAAAAAAATGGCTTAGTGGCCTAAAAGAAAGGGTGAAGTTTGCAATGTAGGCTTAAGGTAATATCTCTTTCCCTTTTTAAGAGCTGAATAACTGAAGGGTGTTATAAATAAAAGTCATTAAGAACCCCATCAATACCTCACAAAGAACACAAGACAAACTAGTAGTAACTTGGCAAAGCAGATTGTACTTTTGCATAAGCGTGCATTGCATGGTTGGGTCAGATCCAGTTTAAAAAAGAGGAACTCTAAAGAATTCAGCTGCCCCAGGTCATCAGGTTCAGGAATGCTTCAGGTGTGGTGCAAGGTGTGGTGGGATTAAAAGTTTAGAATTTCTTGTCATAAACCAAGTTCTAAATTTTGCAGGTTTTGAAAGAGAAGACTAATACTTAATGTCTCTTACAGTGAGGATGCCTTTATATGTGAAACCAGTAGAGTTCCCTTTGTATAAGCTATTAGCATAACATAAATCAGAGGCTATACATTAAGACTTCAGGTTAAGAATAACATGTTGTAGACATCTCAGGCTGTTTTCTTGGAGGCAAGAAACTGGCTTAGGCTTTCTTGGGAGTCATCTCTTTTCATGTACCCCAGAAAAAGCCATGTGTTGTTGTATCTGCCTCAAGTAGCAGACTATGGTTGGGTCTACAAGATTTTAAAGTGGGTTTTGGCCAGACAAATACAAGCAAAGGAACCTGAAATGCTTAGCAGGGTAGATCATACAGGGGACATATGAGAAACTCACCAACAGTGCTTCAAGATGGATCTCACCAGGAGCATCCAGAGACTTCAGGACCGAGACATAGCTGGCACATGGTCATCTTAGGAGTCTGAGGAGCTCTAAGCCATAGAGAACTCTACTCAAGTCAAACCAGCATTCCTGGCTTTAATTGCTGAAGGGAATTTTAAGAATAGCTAGTACAATAAAGACAATTTTAATGTAGACTTAGACAGGAGAGTTAAGGACAAACAAGTTGCTCAAGGGAAGAGAAAATGAAATATATCCAAGCTTCCCATGAAAGTAGTCTTTCTTAAAACAGGCCATAATCTATTTACATAGAGAGCTCTGTGTTAGGAGATAAGGCAAGGTCAGAGAAAAATGAGCTAAGACTAGTCTTAGAATTTATCTATGGTTCTGATTCAATCTCTAAAAATTTTTAATTAATTTAAATTTTGATAGTTTCCTTTATTCACGTTATTTTTCTTAGCACTCTTATTTTTGTAAATTGCCAATTTTATAATTTTTTTTATAATTTTGTCCTTTTAGGTAAGTTCACATTTTATTTTAAAAAATATTTTATGGGGGCTGGAGTGACGGCTCAGCGGTTAAGAACACTGGTTGTTCTTGCAGAAGACCTGGGTTCGGATCCCAGCACCCACATGGCAGCTAACAACTGTCCATAACTCTAGTTCCAGGGGATCCGACAGACTCTTCTGTCCTCTGTGGGCATTGCATGACACAGGTACGCTTACCAACATGCAGGCAATACACGCACACACATAAAATAAAAATTAAAAAAAATACCAGACTGGTGGAACTAACCTTCTTGGATGTTTAATAGTCACACTTTGAGGCCTATACTAGTTTGGCCAGAGTGACACTATGTAGACCAGGCTGGCCTTGAACTCACAGAGATCCACCTGCCTCTGCCTCTGGAGTGCTGGGATTAAAGGCGTGTGCCACAACGCCTGGCCTTTATTTATTATTTTTATGTGTATGTGTGAATAGAACACTGAATGGGGGTGTCAAGTGAACTGCTAAATGCAAAACACTAAAATTCTGTAAAGAGGTTCAGGATGGAGATATCCAAAAAGTGGAAGATGATCAGGATTTAGGAGGGAGACCTCAAGAAGGTGATGATGGAAGTCATCAGCTGGGTAGATGGGCAAAGTTGTACAATAGATGATCCAAAGACTAATGTATGGGCTGGAGAGATGGCTCAGAGGTTAAGAGCACTGGCTGCTCTGCAGACTACCCAGGTTCGAGTCCCAGCACCCACATGGCGGCTAACAGCTGTCCATATCTCCGGTTCCAGGGGAATCCAAAACCTTCTTCTGCCTCTGTAGGCATTGCATGACACAGGTGCTCTTACACACATTCAGGCAATACACTCATACACATTAAAAAAAAATAATGTACATAAGGCCAGGAGTATAGACTGATGACCCCTGATCCTTGGTACCAAGCTAAAGTGAGAAAAGTGAGCCCACCTTTGGTTGTCTGGTCAGCATGATCATAGCAACCCCATGAGAGTTAGACAATAAAAGAGTAGGGCCATTGTATTCCAAGCCCAGATCTTAAATGGTGTCTTTCTGCCCATAAGACTATTACTACTGGGGATCAATATAGTGATTAATAGGAACATAAGGATAGAGCAAACACCAGTGGTACCTGGTGGTCGGACTTCCTCTAAGCTGAAGATTTGGGTCAGAAGGTATGCAGGTGAGATTTGTGGGAATGTGGATGGGTTCCTTGGGAGAGACATTGCTCATGGACTTGGCTTTCCCATCACAGCTTGGGCAGGTGAACTTTGAAGACGTGTTCGTGTACTTTTCCCAGGAGGAGTGGGAACTTCTTGAGGAGACTCAGAGGCTCCTCTACCATGATGTGATGCTGGAGAACTGTGTACTTATGGCCTCGCTGGGTAAGGCCACTATACTTCTCTGGTCTTGACTCTGTCCTTCCTTCCTTCTCTCAGAAGAGCCATTTCCTCCCCCAACCATAGCCATGTGTAGTACCACATGGCTTTCCTTTGGAGTAGCTGTGGATCCTGGGCCTAAGTTGTGTGCTTTCTGCTTTGAATAGTCCCAAATCCTGCTGTTCCCAGAGTTCCTAGGGATGTATCCAGGAGATAAATGTCTTAAAGGCAGCTCAGTGGATCTTTTCATTCTTGTCCTCTCACTAAATAAGTCCATACCCTAGAGTCTGCCCCTTCCCTCTAAGCTGACATATCTTCTGGTTTGTCTGTGCCCCAAGTTGCAGTGACCAGTATGGTCACCACTTGTAGGAACCATTATAGAAAGTTAGGAAATTATATTTAGTGTTCTTGTTTTTTTTGTTTGTTTTTTGTTTTTTATTTTATTTATTTTTTGGTCTTTCTGAGACAGGGTCTCCCTGTGGCCCCAGCTGTCCTGGAACTTACTATGTAGACCAGGCTGGCCTTGAACTCACAGAGATCCGCCTGCCTCTGCCTCCTGAGTGCTGGGATTAAAGGCATGCACCACCACGCCCAGCCCCTTGTTTTTTATGTGTATGAATGTATTGCCTGCGTGTGTGTAACTGCACCTGTGTCACACAATGCTGTGGAGGTCAGAAGAGGGGATCGGATCCCCCTGGAACTGGATTTAAGTACAGTTCTTAGTTGCCATGTGGGTGCTGGGAATCGAACGTGGGTCCTCTGCAAGAGGAGTCAGTGCTCTTAACTGCTGAGCCATCTCTGTAGCCCCGTGTTTTTTGTTTAGTTTTGTTTTTTTCTTTTTAAAACAGGGTCTCCCTATAGCCCCAAGCTGGCCTGGAGCTCACTATGTAGACCAGGCTGGCTTGAACTCACAGAGATCCTCCTGCCTCTGCCTCCAGAATGCTGGGATTAAAGGCATGTGCCACCATGCCTGGTGCCCGTAGTTATTTTAATGCCAAGGGCACTCCTGGCTTCTTTCTCATTCCCCTCATCATTTATGCCCTGAGCTTTGATCTCTAGTTATTGTGATCTCTAACTTCACATCTCACCTATTCTACTCCATTGCTCCATCTACAGTGCTGTCTATAGGCAATGTGTGATGAGATGTGCACGTACCCCAAGTAATCTTAAATACTAACTGCCCAGTAGCAGTTTTATTTTCTTGACTGGGGAAATGTCCCATCTGAACAGCTGTCACTTTTCCCCAGCAGTCAAAGAAATCCCAATTGCAAAAGACTCCATTAGAGACCCCACTTCCTCTTTCTTTACTATATTCCATATTTATTTCTTCTCAGTCTGTGCATCCTCCATTCTGTGATGTTTAGTTAGCTACTGCAGAGCAGTCCTATACTCACCTTAAACTTGAGCTCGTTCCCTGATGTCCTAATGTTTCCTGTGTTAAGTAGACCCCACACCTGTGCACCTGTTCCAATTTGTCCTTGATCAGCATTTCTTTGCTTTCAGGTTGTTGGCATGGAGTAGAGAATGGGGATATGTCTTCTCCAAAGAGAATTTCTGTAGGAGTGCCTGAGAATAGGACTCCCATGGGAAACTGTTCTACCCAGAATGCCACCCCCTGTGAGACACATGGCCCAGTCTTGAAGGAAATTTTGCACTTGGCTGAGCATCAGGAAACTTACCCTGGGCAGAAACTTTATACATGTGTGGCTCATGGGAAGCAATTCCAGCTCAATACAAACCTTTATCAACCCCAAAAGCAGCACAGAAAAAAGAAAACCTCTGGAAAGGATGAGAAGACATCTGTTGTGACTTACTGTCCTGTCCAACCCTCCAGGACTTCTTTTATGTCAGGGGAGAGTCATAAGGACTTCCCCAGCAGCTCAAGCATTTTCCAGCACCCTTCTCCTCCCAGTGAGTGGGATCCACATCGTAGCACCGAGCATGAGGAGGCCTTTCAGAATGGACAAAAGCATCACATGTGTAATGAGTGTGGAAAGGCCTTCAGCCGAAAAGACTCACTTGTTCAGCACCATAGACTCCATACTGGAGAAATGCCCTACGAGTGTGACATATGTGGGAAGGTTTTTAATCATAGCTCTGCTCTTACTGTACATCAGAGAGTGCATACTGGAGCAAGGCCTTACAAATGCAACGAATGTGGGAAAGCCTACAGCCATAGAGCCACACTCGTTCAGCATGAGAGTGTGCACACTGGAGAAAGGCCTTATCAGTGCAGCGAATGTGGGAAATCCTTTAGCCGAAAACCTATACTTATTCAACACCAGAGAATCCATACTGGAGAAATGCCCTATGAGTGTGACATATGTGGGAAGGTTTTTAATCATAACTCTAATCTTATTGTACATCAGAGAGTGCATACTGGAGCAAGGCCTTACAAATGCAACGAATGTGGGAAAGCCTACAGCCATAAAGCCACACTTGTTCAGCATGAGCGTGTGCATACTGGAGAAAGGCCTTATCAGTGCAGCAAATGTGGGAAATACTTTAGTAACAAATACAGGCTCATTAAACATTGGAGTGTTCACACTGGAGCAAAGTCTTATGAGCGCATTGCATGTGGGAGGTTCTTTAGCCAAAGCTCTGATCTTGTTGCACACCAGAGGGTACACAATGGTGAAAAGTCATATATGTGCAGTGAATGTGGAAAAGCCTTTAGCCGCAAGCATGTACTTGTTCAGCACCATAGGATTCACACTGGAGAAAGGCCATATAAGTGCAGTGAATGTGGGAAAACCTTCAGGCAAAGGCCTTCTCTCACCAGGCACTGGAAAGTTCACACTCGAGAAAGCTCCTAAATAGGGATTATGCTATTTCCTTGCTTAACATAATGAGTAATGTCATATGAAAGCTCAGAGTAGTTTTTGTGTATAGCCAAAAGCCAAATGCTGGATTTCATATGTTGGAATATCTACCCTGGGGAAATTCTTATTGTTATCTATGTAGAAAGCTTTCTGGAACTATATCACATTTTCTTTTTAAAAAAATATTTTATTTTTACTTTATGTGTATGTGTGTATCGCCTGCATGTAGGTAAGTGCACCCGTATCATGCAATGCCTGCGGAGGACAGAAGAGGCTGTCGGATCCCCTGGGACTGGAGTTACGGACAGTGTTAGCTGCCATGTGGCTGCTGGGACTCGAACCCAGGTCTTCTGCAAGAACAGTTGGTGTTCTTAACCACTGACCCATCTCTCCAGCCCCTACATTGCATTTTCTAACCCACTGAAGATGTTGATAGAGGGGCTGGTGAGATGATTCAGTGGTTAATCCAGAGGTGGTTTTCATTTGCATTTCCCTAATTACTAATGTTGAACACTTTTTAATATGTTTCTTAGCCACCTCTATTTCTTCTTTTGAGAACTCTGTTTAGATTCTCTTCATTCTTTGCCTTTTGAGTTCTTAAAATATTCTGGCTGTTAAACCTCTGTCAGAGGGCAAAGAGCTTTGTTATGAGCACTTGTAGAAATTCTCAGGATTCCCAAATGTGCATCTTTTATCTAAAGTCATGATCACAGATGTCAAAGTCTGAAACAAACTGGGTATTGCTCTGTGTTGATAGTTCACGTCTTTTCATTTGTGCTTCTACCAAGGGTGTTCCATTGTGGGCAAACAGTTCCAAAGCAAGGGCTCTAGAGAATGACCAAGCTGTACTATCTGTTATAGCCCTAAACTGGTAGTGATGTGCCATCATTTCAGATCCATCATACAGATAAAACCACTGGTCCAGCTGAAAGCTTACTGAGCTACATGAAGGTGAGAAGAGGGAAAGTGGAGGAAGGGTTTGGGTTTGAGGGTTTTTTAAAAACCTTTTTAGTCTTTTGGTGAATTAATTTTTCAATGTTACCCCAATTTTGCATTTCAAGCCTAAATCTCTATTTGTTAATGATGCATTCTTTTTGTGTATTTTTTAAAATTACATTTATATTTTAAAAATTATTTATATATGTTTGTGTGTTGTGTGTGTAGAGGCACATGCCACAGCACCCATGAAGTGGTCAGAGGACAACTTTCAGGAGTCTGTTTTCTCTAGGTGGGTCTCAGGGATCAAACTCAAGTTGTCAGGCTTGGCAGCAGCTGTTTACCTGTGGGGCCATCTTGCTGGCCCAGAATTAACTTCTTAAAGATTTTCACGTTTATATTAATGACGTTATTTTCTGATTTTTTTTTAAATGCCTAGGTTTGGTTTTAGTATCATCAGGTTTACTTTACAGAATAAACTAGCAAAGTAGTCTTTGCTATTGGATTGTTTTGGAAGAGTTTATGAAGAATGAATACTCTTTCCTTAAAAATGTTTCACCAGCTGGGTGTGGTGGCACATGCCTTTAAACCCAGAAGTTGGGAGGCAGAGCCAGGAGGAGCACTGTGAGTTGAAGGCCAGCCTGATCTACATAGTGAGTTTCAGGCCAGCTGGGGATACAGAGATCTGGTTTCAAAAAGACCAAAAAAAAAAAAAAAAAAAAAAGTTTCACCAATACCAGGTGTGGTGGAGCACACCTTTAATCCCAGCACTCGGGAGGCAGAGGGACGTGGATCTCTGTGAGATTGAGGCTAGTCTGGTCTACATAGATGTTATAGGACAGAGTTTGTAAAAAAATCACCAACACCACTTTAAGAAAAGTAGCAAGGTAAATTTTAAATTTTAATTTTCGACCAGCCGGGCTATCTCGGGAATAGAAGCAGCCCTGATGATTGTCAGATCAGAGTTTTTATAGGATATAAGAAATATTATTCAAACAGGACATTTGTGAACCAATCAGGTTTGTACAACATAGCAGAACTTTCTGTTTTACCCATAACAAGTAAAATAAGACAGTCAAGGTAAATAACCTCTAGGTGGTCGTGCAATAACAGAATAACAAGGGTGGTCTTATACCCTGTGTCAGGGCGACCCAAGGCAGCAAGCAGGTTACAGAAGTGAAAACAAGCTGGTTAGCAAAAATATAATGTCTGGAATTAGTACATTCCACGATTCATGGCGAGGGCAATTTTCCAAGGCCCAAGGTTGCCCCCCTTTTCCTTTCGGTGTGGAGCAAAGTTGCTGCTGAAATGGCTCTGAACAAAATGGAGCAACAGGGAAGTTTGCTGAGCCAGTTCAATAGTGAGTTCCATGTGGGCTAGGGTTATGGGAGAGCCTGTCAAAAACAAAACAAAAAATGTTTTGCCCAATGAAACTATCTTATCCTGGACTTGGCTTTATAAGAAAGTTGTAATGCCGGGACTGGTGAGATGGCACTGTGGTTAAGAGCACTGGTTGGTCTTGAAGAGGACCCCAGTGCAGTTCCCAGCACCACATAGTGGGTAACAATCATTAGTAACTCCAGGAGACTCAGCTCCCTGATGTGGTGCTGGAAATCAAACTCTGGTCCTTGGGGAAATGCCTCATGAATCTTGGAACCTTTTGAGCTTCCTAGGTCTTATAAGTTGGATAAGCTTCCCAAGCCTTGTAAATTTTGTTAGTTTCCTCAGTCTGAAGAACGTCCTGCCTCCCTCCATAAGGGAATGCTCAAATTTGGAGGAAATAACAACACAATAAACACAAAAATACACATTACTTTTAATAATGTAGTTTTAACACGTCAACAATACCCCAAATACAGTGCCCTTGTAACACCTGGATCTTCCCTTCCTCTAGAGATATCCTAACATATAGCGAAGGCTGTTTTAACTATCGATAGCCTTCCCTATGTCTTAGGTAAATGAATACCGACTTGGTGGTAGCAAAAACTAGAAAGCAATGATGGTCCATCGTGTCCACGTAAGTCACAATAAATGATGGCTAGGTCATTACAACCTTTCTCTCAGTAGGCCAGTATAACTTTCTGCCAGTGCAGCCATGGATTAAAAATACTAACCAAGGCCGGGCGTGGTGGTGCACGCCTTTAGTCTCAGCACTCGGGAGGCAGAGACAACTGGATCTCTGCGAGTTCAAGGCCGGTCTGGTCTACATAATGAGTTCCAGAACAGCGGGGCTACAGAGAGACCCTGTCTCAAAACAGACAAAATAAATAAATAAATAAATAAATAAATAAATAAATCCTAGCCAAAGGGGCTAGAGAGATGGCTCAGCAGTTAAGAACACTGGTTGTTCTTGCAGAAGACCTGGGTTTGAATCCCAGCATCCACATGGTAGCTAACAACTGTCCATAACACCAGTTCCAGGGGATCCGATGGATGGCCTCTTCTTTCCTCCACGGGCATTGCAAGACACTGGTGCACTTACCTACATGCAGGCAATACACGAATACACATGAAATAAAAATAATAAAATATTTTTTAAAAAGTACTAGCCAAAGCCAGGCGGGGTGGCACACGCCTTTAGTGTCAGCACTCGGGAGGCAAAGGCAGGTGGATCTCTGAGTTCCAGGCCAGCCTGGTCTATAAGGTGAGTTCCAGGCCCACTAGGGCTACAGGGAGACCTTGTCTCAAAGAGACCCCCCCCCCCCAAAAAAAAACCAAAAAACTAGCCAAACTTCCAGCCAGCAAGTAGCATCCCCCAGGGCTCCTGTCACATTTCTTGGTGTTGTACAGGACTATCCTGAGCCAGACACCATCTTCGGGGGTTCAGCTGTGCCTGCTTGCAAAAGATCATCACAGCTGGGCTTCTTGACTGTTGACATTCACTCTTAGGAGGCATGGGGAGAGTCACAGGACTCTTATCTAAGTATCCAGTCACTCCTCTCAAGATGTTGAATGCAATTACGCCCTAATTTGCACATGGTCTCAGGGAAGGGGTAGACTATATAGGCTGGGGAAGACTTTAAGGCCACCATGCTCCCACCATAACCTCTCACCCACTGCTCTGTAAGTAAGCCCAATAAACCCATTGGTTCCCCAGAGTGAACTTTGGTGGAATCATAACTCAAACTGCCAGAAGGAAGCTGTGAGCATTTTAGTGATTCGAAAAGACTGATTCCCAACCTTGAACTCTGTACTACCCAGGGCTCCAACACATCCTTCACTAGGGCTAACCCAACTGCAAATGACTGCACTGTATAGATTAATCTATCCACAAATGGTCACACCAGAGCTCAGAGTTCTTTCTGGCACTAGATTGAAACAAAGGAGCAAATGTCCCTGGGAACATGTTTCAGAATCCAAATAAAAGAAAAAATACCAACCTAGAGAAGCTATGGGTCCATAAAACTTGGGGTCTGACAGTGACCTTGCTGAGTACAGGAGGTAAATGAATTTTACATCATGGAATCTGGGACAGGAGGGAAGAGCAGTGGCACTCTTCTGTAATAGGAACAGAGTTTCACTTGTGCAAAATGAAAGAATTCTAGCCAGGTGTGGTGGCATACACCTTTGATCCCAACACTTGGGAGGCAGAGGCAGGCAGATCTTTGTGAGTTCAAGGCCAGCCTGGTCTACATAGCGAGTTCCAGGCCAGCTGGGGCTCCAGGGAGACCCTGTCTCAAAAAATGAAAGAAATCTGCCAACCATTTAAAATATGAATTTACACAACATTAAGTATCCAATTAAAATTGTCAGTGATAGACTTCCTCCACTGTGAAATCTCCAAAGTTTAATTAAGTGGAAGCTGTACCCAAAGGTCCCTCCTAGAACATATAAGCCTCTCTTCATTGTGAATTTTCTGGTGATGAACCAAATGTGATTTTCTAACTGCACTCACAGGGTCTTTCTCCCGTGTGGATTTTCTTGTGCTCAACAAGTATATGTTTGTGGCTAAAGGCTTTCCCACATTCACTACAGTCATGAGGCCTTTCTCCAGTGTAATTCTCCAATATTTAATGATGTTGGAGAATTCCCCACATAAGCTGCACTCATAAGGCCCTTCTCCTGTATGAAGTCTCTCGTGCCTAGTGAGTGTGGTTATACCTAAAGAACTTCCCACATTCACTGCATTTATAAGGCCTTTCTCCAGTGTGAACTCTCTGATGCTTGATGAGTGTAGAGCTGTTCATGAAGAATTTCCCACATTTGGTACACTCATAAGGCCTTTCTCCTATATGAACTCTCTGATGTCTAAAGAATGTAGAGCTGTACTGAATTTTCCACAAATGTCACACTCATCAGGTTTTTCTCCAGTGTGAACCCTCTTAAGTCTCATGAGTCTATAGCTG